TCATGCAATAGTTCATACCTTATACTAACCCTTAGGAGCAAAATATTTAAGCACCATTGAAAGCTCTAGTTTGGTTTTGGTTAATTGATGAAACCCTAAGTGCTAACCTAGTTTATCAAAGTGATTATAAGATAGGTAGCACTACTCCAAGTGATGAAGCAATGGCGAAGATCATGACGATGGTGATGGCATGGTGATGATCAAATGCTTAAACTTAGAAAAGAAGAAAGAGAAAAACAAAAGGCTCAAGGCAAAGGTAAAAATTATAGGAGCCATTTTGTTTTAGTGATCAAGACACTTAGTGAGTGTGATCATATTTAGGATCGATAGCCGTACTATTAAGAGGGATGAAACTCGTATCGAAATGCGGTTATCAAAGTGCCACTAGATCCTCTAACTTATTGCATATGCATTTAGGATCTAGTGGAGTGCTAACACCCTTGAAAATGTTTGTGAAAATATGCTAACACATGTGCACAAGGTGATACACTTGGTGGTTGGCATATTTGAGCAAGGGTTAGAAACTTCACCGGCGCCCTAAACAGAAAAGACAGGGGTCACAGAGTGATCGGACGCTGGTGGTGCAGTGACCGGACGCTGAGGTGTAGCGTCCGGTCAGTGACAGCAGAAAGCACACTGTCTCGGTCTTGTGACCGGACGCTCATGGTCTGAGTCCGGTCAATGCTGACGTACGCTGACGTGAGGCGCACAGAGGAAACGTTGAGTGACCGGACGCAGGTCGAGCATGACCGGACATGTCCGGTCATGAAATGTCGCGTTTGGAACCTTATTGGAAACGACCGGACGCTGAGATCCAGCATCCGGTCACTTTCTAACTAACGCGTCCAGTCATCACTTGACCGTTGAAATCGGGTGATCGGCGTTTGAAGCCGATGACACATGGCGCACATCGCACGACCGGACGCTGAGGTCCAACATCCGGTCAATATGACCAGAGCGTCCGGTCGACCCGTGTTCAGTGCAGTGAGGAGCCCAACGGCTTTATTTCGTGGGGGCTTCTATTTAAGCCCAAGCTCACTCTCTAAGCCATTTGCATTGACATAGCAACATTGTGAGCTTAGCCAAAGCTCCCCCACTCTTCTCCATCATTGATCCATCATCATTGTGAGATTGAGAGAGAATCCAAGTGCATTACTTGATTGATTGCATCTAGTGGCACTTGGTATTCGTGTTTCGCTGCGGGATTCATTTGTTTCTCTTGGTGGTTGCCACCACCTAGACGGCTTGGAGCAGCGAGGATCGTTGAGCGGAGGTTGGTGATTGTCTCCGGCTCCGATCGTGGTGATTGTGAGGGGTCTTGTGCCTTCCCCGGCGGAGCGCCGAAAGGTAACTCTAGTGAATTGCTCGTGTCATTGAGTTACCTCACTTGTGGGTAGGTTCTTGCGGTGTCAATTGTGTGGACGAGGTTCGTGCAACACCTCTTAGCCACCGAACCACCAAGTGTTGGTCGACACAACGGGGACTAGCGTGCCGACAAGCACGTGAATATCGGGAGAAAAATTGGTTGTCTCTTGACCTTTGATATTCTTCTGATGATTGATTTGGTTTTCATATTGTGATTGGTTCACACATCTACAAGGCGGTATAATCATCATACTCACTCATTTATATTCTTGTAAACTAGTTATAGCAAGTTCTTTAGTGTAGCTAGAATTGAGAGTTTACTTTGTAACTTAAGTTCATCTAGTGGAGCTCTTTAGTGTAATAAGTGAGAGAGCTCTTAGTGAGTAGTGACATAGCAAATTGTGTGTTTAGTGATCATAGCAACTAGATTTGTTGGATATGTGGCTTGCAACCCTTGTAGAGCTAAAGCAAGTTTGCATTTCGTTATTTGTTATACTAATCAAATTGCTCTAGTTGGTTTGTAGATTTTTAAATAGGCTATTCATCTCCCCTCTAGCCATATTAGGACCTTTCAACCATTTAATTATTTTGCTCAATATAATTCGTCAAAAATGGTATTTTAACAATAGTTCAAGTGATTGCCGACTTAACGAAAAGAGCTTATCTTAACGTTAAATTTGATTTTTGAGCTCCTAAGAGCACTAGTTAACACTATTTATTTTGATTTTTCTCAACCACATAAGTGAGTCGCATAGAATTTATTTATCATTTCACGTGCGTTATAAATTTTTAAAACCCGAAAACTTGTTTGCCTAATTCCTCTCGAACCTAAATCTCGATGCTAAGCAAACTCGTAACACCAGGAGTGTTACAACATGTCTCTGTGATCAGTGCGGTACGGTTCGGTAAATACCGAAACCAAATCGAAAGTACCGAAATCGAATTTTCTCGGTATCGATTTTTGAAAGGAACCGATCGGCAGTTATTTTCTAAAGAACCGAATTTCTGTGGAAAATGAAGTATCGAACTGATCAGTTCGGTATTACCGAATGCCCTGGCTGGGTCCACATCCTCGGCTGTTATTAGTACTGTATCGGTTCGGCGATGCCTGTTGCAATTGCAACAAGCTCCGAGCTGTAGCTGCAGCTTCGATCGGGCCTTCCCGGCACTCGCGCATGTCATGTGCCGAGTTCCAAGCCCAACCACCTACTGGTACTGTAGATGTGATCTCTCTTGCGCAAGAGTACTCATGGCGCCCCCGCGAACCATCACCCTGTTTGTTTAGATTTGTTTTTGTTTATAAATCGTACTTTTTTAGTCAATGAATAGTACTTTTCTCTCGTACTAAATCAGCCAACAGTACTTTCAACCATGACTTATCAGTCAAGTAAGCCTACACGAAGAAGACGCATAACTGGCCTGTCTGTGTCGCGTCGTTGTGCCCATGATTCTTCTCGGATCGTATCTGCCGCCACGTCGGCAGTCGGCCCCGCTACGCGCGCCTTCTAGGAGCTTGTTGCATCGATCAGGAAGTGTTAAGTGTGTGTTACCATGCATTTGAGACAGCCCAATGGAGCCGTACGTACGCCAGCTGCGTGCGTCGCATTTGCGCCCAGGCACAAGTGCTAAAGTGCTTCCACGCCGCGTCAGCCGTCAGGGCTTCTGGTGGGCGGTGGCGGCAGGCCTGGCCAGCCATAGACGATGCCGCCTGTGCATGGGGTCTGGCCGTCTGGGCCTCTGGGAGCCTCGGCCTCGGCGGTAGGGCTGTGCCTGTACCGGGAAGGACGGCTCGGCCACCGTTTCGTCTGCCACTGCCACCGCCAAAACCAGAGGTCCTTTGATTGATCTGGGCCATGTTTAGTTCACCTGAATCGGCGCCGTCGAAAATACTATAGCTACACCTACACAGTAGTATTTTTGTTTTTATTTGTAATAATTGTCCAATCGTTGACTAATTAGGCTTAAAACGTTCGTCTCGCAAAGTACAACCAAACTATGCAATTAGTTTTTGATTTTGTCAATATTTAGTACTCATGCGTGTACCGTAAGTTTGATGTAACGGAGAATCTTCTTTTTGCATAGTACACAAGTTTAGATTTTTGGGTGATCTAAACATGGCCCTGATCGGCGCCGCGCTGGTCCATGGACCATGGCCGGCGCCACCACCGCAAGTACCAGACCACTAGTATTGCTCGTACGCTGATCCTTCAATGTGCCTCCACCTCCATCATACCGTCAGGTGAGCCAGCCGCCAGCGATCGGTCGTCGGTCAGTCGATCCATCCATCCGTGCATGGATTAGTACCCTCGGCGCGAGCGCTAACCCATCATCATCATCATCGTCATCATCATCAGGAGAAGAGACGACGAAAGGGCGTCGGCGTTGGTTGCCGAGTACGTGACGCGTCGCGATCCCAGGAGCATGCAGCGTACGTACCACGTACTGTACAACAACAACAACAACAACAACACAGAGGAGGCCTGGAGGAGTGGAACGCCGAGACAAGATCCGGGAAATGAGCGCGCACTATGGAGAACGGGACAAGGTGGAGAAGAAGCCGCTCGCCGGGAGCCGCTTGGTCCGTCCTTGCCTGATTGGATTTGGAATTGGACCCGCCCGGCCTCAGTAACCATCACACCGCAGGCGCCGGGCCGGGCCTCGCTGCTTGCGTCGCGTCGCAATGAGCACGGGGGGTCCTCACCTTTCCATGGCTTCGGAGTTCGCGAGTGCCTTTTTGTTATCGGTGACCACCCACAAGGACCTTTTCTTTCCCTGGACCAGGACGGCGGTGTTGATGCCATGCCATGGCCGTGCTCCGCCTGGAGGTCCGTGGGGTTTGGCGTGGCGCATCTCGGCTGGGAAGCGGTGGTCAGTGGGCACGAGCTGCGCCGCAGACGTGTTTATCGCTAGTGCTAAATGCAATGGTCAAGTCAAACTGTGCTTTGTACTTACAGGTAGCCAGGTAGGAGTAGGAGGAGGGGTGTGGTTGCCTGCCTGTGCCTGGCTGGCTTGCCCCGAGTCCCTGACCAGTTCAACTGACACTGTGGCTCTTCTACGCATCCCCCAACCACCCAAAATGCGTCGTCGTTATGGCAGCGTTACTGCATGTGTGTTTCCGTTCGGAGTTATGGACACCTTCTACCTTCACATGGATGGGATGGCCATGAGCCCATGATGGATCGTTGGAAGCATCAACGAGTTACTCCTCCTAGAGATGTCATCCTCATCGCCACAACTCACACGGTGAACATTTCAAGATCGGACTGCACAACAATGCCGGTCTGTTCAGCAACAACGGAACGAGTTCGGCTGCATGAGCTTAATTAATGAAGAAAACGATCAAAGATGGGGGCGGTGATTTGATTTGACGAACACATCAACAAATTCAGGTGTAATAATTGTTAGTCTAGTAGTAATCAAAGTGCCCACATGAACAGACAAGACGTCAGGGCCATCAGCACGAATGCACGATCAAACCCAAATTCCACAGCACGATTTTCAACTTATGAGCAGTTCTTGTTGTTGAAATCACACACGCACACACTAGGAACGGCTGGGGGGTGAGAGGACGAGATCTATACGAGGCAATTCAACGAGATGGGGGTGATTAACCGGCCATGTTCCAGCTCCGAATTTCAACTCACCGCCACTGGAGCTGCCGCTGCTTTTGCCTCTGACGACGACGACGGTGGTGGCGCCGGGGATGGTATGGACAATGCCGACGCCGAGGAGTTGCCGTGGACGGTCACGTGGCTGGCCGGCACCACGGTGATGGTCTTGGTGGAGGTGGAGGTCGTCGTCGGCCGCAGCGCCCTCATGGGGCTCGCCAGCGCCCACGCCCAGCTCCGGTGGCTCCGCCCGGACGACCTCTTGCTGCCGCTGCTGACGCTCGCGCACTCCGCTGCGGAGAGCCAGTAGGAGGACGACGCGGGACCCAGGGCGCCGAAGAAGCCCGCGCACTTGATCCGGTGCTGGTGCTCGTACACGTCGTCCTCCTCGCCATCGTCGTCGTTTGCGCCAGCGCCGCCGAGGTGGTGCAGGCCTCCGCCGCCGTGCATCTTGTGGGGCTTGGGCTCGCGGTGGGACTCGACGCGCCGGAGCGTGCAGTCGCCGAAGCCGTTGGAGAGGCGCTCCAGGAAGTCCCCGGAGAAGCTGCGGCTGCCGCAGCCCACGGAGCGCGACCGCGCCACCTTGCGCCCGAAGGAGGAAGACGACGACACCTGGCTCTGGCTGGGGCTCTCGGGCTCGCCGATGGCCTCCAGCGTGGACGCCGTCCCGGTCCCGGTCCCGCCTCGCGGCTGCTGGTCCTGCGCGCCGGCGCCGGCCCTGGACGCCCACGCCGCCGACGCCACGGACACCGACTTCCTCCGCGCGGCGGCGGCGGCACCCGCATTGGTGGCGTACGGCGTGGAGGCGGCGGCCTGGTGCGCGTAGGCGGAGGAGGTGAGGGAGAGGAAGGACCAGAAGCTCTTCTTGCGCGGGCTCTCGGCCGCCAGCGACGCCGACGACGCCGACGAGTAGGGGAACTGTTCCAGCTCGGGCCTCGGCGCCACCGACTTGCTCCGCTTCAGCCCGCCTCCCCCCACGGAGACGGCGGCGGAGGACGACGACGACGAGGGCGTCTTCTTCCGGTGGAACGACATGAACTTGCGCGAGGCGCCGCCGGACGGGTGGAGCGGCGGCGCCAGGGGCTCGGTGGCGCGGCGGAACGACGGCGGCGACGACGGGGACCCCGACGGCGGCGGGTGGCCGCCGAGCGCGAAGAAAGGGCTGGACTTGGAGGAGGACACCAGGCGGCCGAGCTTCTCCTGCAGGCAGAAGGCGCATATCCCCCCGCCAGCGACCGCCGCCGCCGCGGCGGCGGTCGCGGGCCGGTAGGGGTGCTCGCTGCAGTACTGGATGCCGTCCAGCGGCGGCGCCGGCGCCGTGCCGTCGTCCTGGTCCCCCGCGCCCGCGGCCACGGCCGCCGCGTCCTTCGCCTGCTTCTCCCCCATGGTTCCCTCCTCTCCGGCCGGGGACACGCTCTCTCTTGCCTGTTTCTTGGCCGTCGGACACACGGGCGCCGCGCCAACCGGGAAGGAGGACGAGGATCTAGCCTTAGCTTCCAGCTACACCGCGGCCATGCGCAGCACAGAGAAGCTAGGTACCCGGCATTAGCCGGTGGATTTTTCTGGCGGTGCTGGACGCGACCGATTTTTTGCCTCCGCCACTGGGCCGCGCCCCTGATCCCGACTCGAGAGGGAGGGCGGGTGGTGGAGGGAGGGAGAGCAGCTGTACCAGACGAGCGCTGCAGCTGCAGCCTGCAGGGCAGAGGAGAAAGACTGATGAGAGGAGGTGGTCGGCTGGTCGTGGCGTGGGAGTGATGGGTCTTCTGCTCTGTGGCTCCCCTTGTGTTTGTCCGTGTATGTGGCGCGCGGGTAGAGCGGGAGGGCCGGGGAGGAGGGAGAGGCCGGGTGCGGGGCGCCATTCGGTTCGGCCATCCCAATCCCATGCCATTTGGGTTTTCGCGGGCGGGGCCTTTGTTTAATGCGGGCCGGGAATACGAGGCCAGGCCCGGTACTGGGGTGGTGGCAGCAGCTTTGGTGCGTTGCCCGAGCAGGAGGCCACGTGGGGAGGCTATCTCCTTTTCAGGCGCAGGGCCGCTCCATCACCCTTGTATTTCGTACGTAGTAGGCTACGCTTCGCATGCTGTACATGTACTCGCGGGGGCACCACATCGACGGGGTCCCAAACGCCATTAGGTACAAACGAGGCATCTTGTACGCAAATAAATCAAAGACAATCCACATTATACGAATTTTGGGTTTCAGGCCTAAATCCATGTCATGACTACGTTAGTTACCATGTGTTTGTTTGGGACCAACTGGGTTGGGTTGGGTCCAACCTAGTTTTTTTATTGGATCGAATCCATCTCACGTTTAGATAGAGTGACAGAACCCTTTTAATTTGTCGTTTGATTCGAGGGATGAGATGGGTTGGAATGGATGTCATTGTAAACACCGTGTGCTGCGGTTAGACGTGGGACTTAGCTGTCAGCCAACCTTCCATCTTCTTTCCCCTCTCTTCCAACAGAGCACCACCGCACAACAGAGCACCGGCGCTACCCATCCCCATGCCGCCACACAGCTCGCCCATCGTAGGCCGCCCTCGCGCCGCCACCAGCTCGCTCGAGCCCGTGCTCTCCCGCCGTGGCCGCCACCTCCCCGAGCTCGCGCTCGCCTGCCATGGCCGCTGCTTGCCCAAGCCCAAGCTCGCTCGCCATGTGTCGACAGAATATCGTCGACAATCCTCCGAGGGGTATCCCACGAAGGTAGATTGATCGGCAGAGGAGCGCGTGATCAAGAACAAGAAGGCAACAGAGACACACGAGTTATACAGGTTCAGGCCGTCAGTATGACGTAATACCTTACTCCTGTGGTCTATTGATTTATATTAGCTATCGTATGATATGCCGTGATTTTGGAGGGGTCCCTGTCCGCCTTATATAGCCCGGGGGGCAGGGTTATAAGTCGGTTAGATCTAAGAGATAACCGGAAAGTAATAACAGATTACAAGAATCATGGGATCATACGTATCCTAACAGATCTCGTATATCTTCAGGATATCTTCCCTATATCTTGCGGAAGGCGCCGAGCAGAATCATGCCCCCGCAAGGCTTCGTCTTGTGGGCTGGGCCGCCCCTAGGGGCGCAGCCCATGTGGTCTGCCGTGGGTATCCGGGGTTGTACCCCCCACAGCTAGTCCCCGAGCGCCTTGCATCCGTTATGCAATGCCGTCTTGACCATGTCCGAGCAATCCAACTCATGGTCCGGCCATCGTGATGAGTCGCCGAGCAGTTGTGAGCAGTTGTCGAGCAACGTGCACCATTGCCGAGCAGCGTGTACCACAGCCGAGCAGCATATTCCAAGTACGGCTTGCCATGAGGGTGTAAGGAGCTCAAGTCCAGAATCAAAAATTTCTTCGCAGTGGACCAAATGTGCCCACTTAGAGTCCGACCACGAGGAAAGGAGGTAGTCTTCTTCTGTTTCAAGAGTCACGGAGTCTTCCAGAAAAACAAGCACATTCACCGTGAGGTGAAGTGTGCCCACTTAGTCCCCGAGCCTGATAGTAGATGACGTAGTCATGTGGTGCCAGGGTCCAAAGCAGAAAAATAATAGAAAACCAGCCGAGCAGGTAGCTAGTCCCCGAGCATAGCCCCAAAACGAGATAAAGCACATTCACCGCAAGGTGAAGTGTGCCCACTTAGTCCCCGAGCCTGACCGTAGATGACATAGTCATGTGGTGCCAGGGTCAGAAATAGAGAAATAACGAATGACCAGCCGGGCAGGCAGCCAGTCCTCGAGCTGCAAGCGAAGATATCGGAGAAATCAAACCATGGAGAAAAATCAGAGTAACGGCTATACAGTAACGGTTACTGAGCCTCAACAAATGGCGAAGAAGTCGGCGACTATTCGGCGAGTAGCAACTGACTGCAGCGATAAATGGACGATGTGGGCTGCGGTTGCATAGAAGCCTAGGTAACGGCCCATACGCCGCGTCGGAGAATTCAGAGCGGCGCAGATCGCGAGAACGGTTTCCCAAAAACCCTTGAATGCAGAAAGGTGGGGAAAGTGCTTTATAACAGTGCCTCCACATACCCCGTTCCCACATTTTCCACTCCATCTTCCTCCTCATCTCTCGCATCTCCGAATCCACAACCACATTTTCCTCCGCCGCCAAACCCTAACCAGATCTGGGAGATGGCGCCGAAGAAAGGAGCTGCGAAATCGAAGAAAACTAGTCCCAAGAAGGCGGGCGTCGTGGCCCAGTGCAACGAGGAGTGGGTATCATCATGAATGAGAGAGGCGGAGCTAAACAGATTGGTGGAAGTCGACGTTCTCCCTGACCGTGCTACCGCCGGATGGCGGCCAGCCCTCGGTGAGTCCTTCCCGACACCTCATACTGACGAAGCAGTGGTATTCGAGGATTATTTCTGGCGCAGATTAGGATTTCCTATTCATCCATTTCTGAGGGATCTCTTGGAACTCTAGGCAGTTAGTCTGTGCAACCTCCACCCCAATACCATTTTGCACATCTCAATCTTCATCCATTTCTGTGAGGCATACCTCGGAATCCTACCCCACTTCAATCTCTTCTGTCACCTATTCTGGCTAAAGAAGAGAGGCGGCGCTGGTTCCAAGGTGGTCGGCGGGGTGTACCTTCAGCTGCGCGATGGTATGGCGAGCGAATACCTTACTATGCCATTGAACACATCACTGAAGGGGTGGAACACCAGGTGGTTCTATATGAAACAAAACCACCTAGCAGTCCACTGTGACGCCGACCACATCCCAAAAAGCCAGAGGAGTTGGTCGGAGATGCCGAGCAACGATGATATGGAGAAGGTAAAGGAACTCCTCGGCTTAATAAAGGGCGTGAGGACCAATGGCGGATTGGTAGCGGCGAGTTTCATAGTGCGCCGCGTTCAGCCCTGTAAGGAGAGGGCGCACCCAGGCTTCGAATTATATGGAGAGATCGACGATACCCGAGAGAGGCGAGAGATACTGTCTAGGAATGTTGTTGAAGAGCGGACTGCTAAGCTGTTCGCTCCGCTTGCCTCATTCCGCTTGTCGGGGTACACAAAACCCTTTAACTGCAAGAATCTGCCTCCTCAGATGAATATCCCAAATGTATGTTTCCGAGAAGTTTTTTCTTTTGTCATTACCGAGCAGTAGACTGATCCACTCATGTGAAGATCCATTCGTAGGATAGAGCGGTATATTTCTCAAGCATGCCGAGAGGCGATTGACCGCCGATAGTAGATGCACGACCACCAGCTCAACCTGAAGAAAGCTCCGTTGGCGTCTCTTCAGAATCCGGAGGTATGGATGTTGGTCGAACGAAGAGTCCTCCCCCGGTATCGGAGAAAATCCGGGGAAGAGGCCTGCGGAAGACGAGCTGGCCCAGAAGAAGAGGAAAACAGCTGCTGCTGCTCCCCGCAAACCAGGCGGCATCTCGCTTGGCAATGATCAGACCAATCGAACACGAAGGACCGCGGTGTTCGATTGGTCTAACGACGATGAAGTTCTGACGGCTCCTCCATAGAGCACGAAGGAGCCTCCGCGTAGCACGCACAGGGGACCAATTAGGTGGGGGCAAAGAAGTCCATTTACCACCAACAAGGACAGTCCCCGAGCAGCGGGCGGAAGGAGTTTCTATGCAGCAGACGATGGAAGTCCTTGCGGGGCGAGCTACGGAAGTCCCTGAGCAACAAGCAGAGGCGAACCCGGAGCAACAGGTAGAAAGGAGGTCGACCGAGGAGGAGCCGGGAATTCCTCCGCAAAGCACAAGAGTCGACCCCGCGACTGTGCCTGGATGCTCGGGCAGACATCGCCGGTTCAAGAAATTGAACCGTCAGACCAAACCATAAGTGGCCTTGTATTGGAGTTACTTTGCTGTAGTTTCTTTACTTCTGTGGTAACTGACGAACTGATTTGACGCAGTGCAAGGCGAGCGATGGTTCCAGCCCCACCCGCTCAGACTGAGTAGCAGCCGAAAGCTGGCCCCGGGGTGGGGGAGATGCCAATAGACCCCATCCTGGAGTCCCCGAGTGCTCAGCAGCATGCGAGGGAGCCAATCGCTGCCCCTGGTGGACTTGGCGGTAGCGAACGGTTGTCGACGATGGTGAACGAGTTAGCGATCGCACCCTCAGCAACGGCGGAATCTGGAGCGGAAAATCATGTGGTGCTGAGGGAGCCGACGGCACTCCCCGATGCTTCGAAGGGCATGGTCAGAGCCGCTATCTGGCCACCAAGCCCCCAGGTGGTGCCTCCGGCTGCAACAGAAGAGGACGAGGTGGAGGAAATCGTACGTGATGAACATCGACCCCAATCAGTCCGGATCCTCCGAAAGCGCAGCGACGACATAGTAATTGTTGAAGAGGAGGACACCACCAAGGAATTTAGGAGACTGGAGACCGCCCTTACCAGGGTGACAAAACAGATCAAGGTTAGTAC